AACAAAATGAATGGATGGATTGATGAATACATATTAAACTGGTTAAAGATTGAGAAAAAAAAACTGAATGAATGCATTAATTAAAGGAATGGAGTGCCTGATAGGCAAACAAACAAAAGAATGRGAAAAATGARCTGARAGAATTGGAAAATAAACTKAATGAATAAATAAATGAAATGAATGGATGAATYAACATGCAAAACAAATGAAAGAATGTATGTGAAAATGAAATTAAAAGATGGATTACTAAAAACAWGAAAAATGAAATGAAATGAAAGGATAAAAGAAATGTTGAAAGAAGGTATAGACAGATGGATAGGTAGACAGTTAAACTCAGCTACCAGGTCACTGATTCTTTTAACACCATTCGATTGTGGCACCAGGACACCAATATACCACTGTCCAGGAAGCGTGTCTGTGAATGACAAGGGTTGTTTATTATCAAGAGTTCTTGATTCACTCCCCGCATGAGTTCTTGTCAGGTATGTTCCATTGGCAAAAGTCTGCATTGGTGGGAGTGGTGGAGCACCATACTGATAGTACCTGGAATTTAAGCATTTGATGTTATATATTGTAATGCAGGTTATTACCATCAGCCTTGTGAGTTTCCAGGCCGAGACATCAAGAGCAATACTRCAATGGCAATACATCATTACCTGTTCCGGTGGGCTCATTTGTATGAATGGTTATAATCCATTAATTAAAAGCATTCAGTACTCCATTGATTATGATTTATGGAGTAAGATTAATTTGGTGATCTGTAAACTAGTGTGAGCTGTGTCAGTGTTTCTAAAGAGTTATGCAAAAAGATAAATTTTACACCGTAAAAAAGGAGGTGAAACAAGGTTACTGACATTTCGGACGATAATCCTTCATTGGAGTAAAGAACCTCTGACAAACGATTAACTTAACCAAAATGCCTGAGTAAGTTGTTTCACCTATTATACTGGTTTTTTTTAAAAACAGAAACACAAAAAAAATCTTTTTTGCACAACTGTACATTACAAAGTCTATACATTTTATTACTTCTAAACATTTTAATATCAAGGGAAGGTACAAATGCATTACATAATTTGAATGAATATTTATAATAAAAATTTGCAAATGGCTCCAATCCAGATCACCAATTCAATTTATGCACTAAATTACTAGGTTTAGTGCACTTCTAGTATGTGCATATGATCTATGATCCATGTTATTGGGGAACTATTTTAGTGAAAAAAGGTRTATATAATATTGTTTTTTTATTAAAGTTCACAATCTATTCATTCAAAGGGAAACAATGTGATTAGGATTGAATTGGAATTAAACATGTCACAACTTTCAGTGGAAAATTATTTTTCCAATCAATATGATGAAGAATGGATGTTTACCATGCATAGCTGTTAACAATATTATTGTTGCTAATAGCTGCAGCTCTCAGTCAAAATGATAACTTACACTTCGATGGACAATGTTTTGCAGTTAGCTGTATGCAAAGCTTCAAGATCAACAAACACATCCATGGATTTAGTCATGTCTGGMACWGTGATGACCATTATTTCCATGTCACTGTATGACTTGTATTCATTGATGGTTCTTTCAGTGAACCTCACATACCTCTTGGAATCTATGCATAAATATTAGTAATAATTATTASCTCATTGTTTTTCTGTGTACTTCATAAAAAGCAATCATGTCAATCAGTTATAAAAAAAAGGATAATAGAGCAGATTTCATATGAGTGGGACACCGTTACCGCGCGGTTACCGCACAGTTACCGGACCTAGCCTGCACAATTTTGGTGAACCAATGGGGCACTAGAATTTGGTTACAGCAAGATTACAGTCACAATACAGTACCGTCCGTTTCCCACTCATACGAAATCCGCATATTAGTTAGAGCTTTTGCTAGTACAACAACTGAGCACATATTCTAATTACAAATTAGACCTCGAGGTCGAGTGGACTACGAGCTAATAGCCCATGAGGCCGAGTCTGTGACATACTAATCGGTCAAATAATGAAAACAGATTGAAATATCCTTAAAATAGTTTATTAATGAGATGCCGCCATTTTGATTTTCCCATGAGTGGTCTATCGACAAATTAGACCATTAGTAGAGTAGSCAATCACAGCGCAGTATGAGTGATAGACCATTAGTATGTTTATACTAAAAGAGTTTTAGTCGCGTCATTTTTGCATTGCTTGGTGCAGCTATTCTTGGTTTGCACATGACGTCAACAAAAGATCGATATACGAAAATTAGATCTAAAAGAAACGCCAGTTATATATATGACAGATAATTATTATCGAAAGACATTGCCAAGGTTTGGTTTAAAAAAGTTTTTTAGTTCCCGAGATATTTACGCTTGAATGTGTCACGCAATAGCAGTCACGTATCCAATTCAGATGAAAAAATTGATATCAATTTGATGTTTGGCCTTATATAGTATCCTTGTATCCATTTTAAGTATATTATTGTAGAAAATGATCGAAAATATTCAATTTTGCCTTCTTCTCAGACCTTTAAAGTATCATCCGCCATGTTGGAAGATATGCCGTCGTCTTGGCTGCCCCATACATTCCCTTGTAAAGTAAGACCGTATTCAAATGCTTATAGTTTTGCTACAAAATCGAAGTTTAACTTCAAACTTTGCATATATGTTGGGAATTATATGCTGTTTTTGGCCTTGGACATAAAACATTTATTTGGGTCTTAAAACAAAGTTTTTTGTAGGTATTTCTTGACCGGTCTAAAACGCGTTGACCCGTGAAAATCCCATACATTCTTACCAATTTTCGATCGCTCGTATTTCTGTTAAAAAGAATCATTTTGGCTCAAAAGTTCGTGATGATCCTTTAATTTAGATGTTCTCTTAAGGACAATAATAATATTTCGCTAACTTAGCCTCTAAATAGCTTTTTTAGAATATCACGTGATGGTTGCAAACCAAGAATAGCCCGCAAAATGTAGAATATAATTGCAATTTTAAAAACTAGCATTTAACTGCTTCAACCAAAAAATGGTGTTTGGTTATTCCTTTAAAGAGCCGTAAACTTATAAGCATTTTAACTTACCAGGGCTTTTTCTAAACAGAGAGAAAATAAGAATACTTTAATTT